ATTACCCCCACAGCACGTGGGGATTGATGGAAATCAATAAAGTATTATTTACTTTATTATATATGTCAAATTCAAGCTTTAAAAATGAAATTTTTAAAAGTGTCATACACTACGCGATATAAATGCTGTCTGAATTTGGTATAAGAGAATATAGAAAATCGGATGTATAACCTTAAAAAAATTGGACACCATTTATGTCGCGTAGTGTACATCCTTAATATCTTTAATAGGATCTTGCACATTATGTTCTTTATTTTCAATCATAATGTCTTTGATTGAGCTATATGTACGCTGTTTCGGCACTTTTTCGGTAGATAAAGGAAATTTTATTTGTCTATCCATTACTGCATCCAGATGCTCATAAAATGTGCAACCGTAGTATCCATTATATTATTTCATATTTAATACTTTACACATAGCCACAGAATCGAAACATCGACACAAAGTAAGTACTTTACTCCTTATCAATTCTGTACCTAATTTCCATTCAACACCTTCAGACGATAATGTATTTGCTTCTTCTACAATTTTTCCAAAAAAGATTTATCTCTGGTTCAACATCACTTATCCGCAAGCTTGTCATTATGATATGTTTCTCATAAATTGACCAAGCTGATAACCAACCGGATTTTGATGTTTGACAACCATCGGTGAAAAATGTGTATAAAAGACTGTATTCCTAAGCCATGGAGAATATAATAAGGAGACCACACTGACGTTGGGGAAGTAGGCAAAATAAGTATCAAAAAGTAGAGTTGTAGGGTAGTACACAGAAAACGCAACAAGCGGCGCTGGCATCAGGAAGCGTCGAAATAAAAAAGAAGAGAGGGCATATAAGGCGGAGCATCATAATTGAGAGGAGGAGGAGCATGAAGACAGAAAGTGATTCCCTCTGAGAGACCGAAATCGAAGGAAAATGAAAAACTAATAGAATTGAATTTAATACAAAATAATCTGAAATCAACTCCCTGCGTAGAAAAAAAAATTGTTCAGAAAAGTAATTTAAGAAAAAAAAAGGAATTGACGATTGCGAACATCAATAAAAAAAGTGGAATTTTAATGACTATATTGAATATTGGAAGGGACAGTTAGCGAACGCTGATTTGACCTTTTAGCGTCCAGCCATCCGTCTTGCTGTACTTTTGAAGCAGACGCTCTTGTGAAAAAATTCCCAACTCATCAATTTAATTAACAATAATCGTCTATTGAAGAACTGTAGGAATAAAAATTGGCAGACTAATAAAGAACAGTCTGATCTGTAATCCTGCCCAACTAAAATAATTAAAAACCGTGAATCGACCTCGCAGGCAATCATGAGAGCATCAATTTTAGAGAAGAAGGTACAGAAACCATGCTTTTTCACCTTCTAAAATCTGTAGCGAGGTCGATTCACGATTTTTAATTATTTTCATCAGACTCCATGTCCTAAGCTAATGATCCATTTTCAGTTCGCAACTTTTTACATACAGCGCCATCATGAATATCCTCCGAAACTTCTCTTCGTTATCCGAGACGATCAATTACATCATTTAAAACACTTTGAACATCGGTATCTTCCAACAGTTGTGTTAGTTGCGACCATGGAGAATATAATTGTAGGGTAGTACACAGTATATTCTCCATGGTTGCGACTTAAAATCTAAAGAGACAAAAAATGCAAATTCTACTTTTTGAACCACTTTATCACAGTTCTCACACACTAGTCTTGTTATATTCAAGTCAAAGCATTTTTGTAAATACCATTTACACGATGATCAAAATAAATGGTATGTGATGAGATTATCTTCAAATGAAAAGCACTTGAATAATTTATACATATTAGTTGCTAGAACCACTTCGTCACCGAACTTCCCATGTCAAACAATGTTTAGCACCCAATGTTGAAAATTGCTGAAATAATTCTCAGCAACATCCAGCTTTTACATTTATTTTTCGATTTTGTAGTTTTTATAGATTTAATTTAAACTTATCAATTTTCACCCTCGAGCTTTTCGTCATTCTTCTATGTCTAAAAACTATTCTAACCCTTGGACCTTCTAAATATATTATTTACTCAAACTCAGAATATATTTTTTGTTGATATAACAAAATAGGATTAATAAAATAAAGTAAGTCTACGTAGTTGTCAACGGTTTTTAATAGTATTATCAATTATATGTTCATTTTGAGAAGGCACTTTTGTCACTACATAACATCATATACTAAAAAATGTATTATGATACGTTTACATTAATTCACTGCAATGCTTATTAATCTTTAAATTCTGAGCTCTACATATTTACATATAAAGTAGGTGTATATAAATAAAATATAGAATTTAAGATAAACAGGCTAAGCCTATTTTTCGGCCAATGTAAACGCATCTTAAAACTTACAATAAATGTTATACTTTTTAACAAACTTTCACTTTACATGTATAAAATATTTAGTTTCATTACTTAACACCATGTATATTAGTAGAAAAATCTGTTTGTCAATACTTATTATAATAACTATAAAACCAGTAAAGATAGAAACTAACATTCGCTTTTTTATTTGTGTCTCTAATAAAACAAAACTTCAATTCTAATATCGATTATTCTGATAATTTTCAAATCATTAAAGAATGAATAAATTTAGACGGAATTAATATTCATCTTAATCTTGCAGTTTAACTGATAATTTTTAATTTAAGATATTATTGTTAATTAAAGTTTCATTTCTTAAAGCGTGGTTCTACTTTTGTTGTATGGTAATCTAATAATATTGTTTTTATAGATTAATTATATGTAAAAAAAAAAACAATAAAAAATCAAAGATCTTAATATTCGATTAAAGTTTTTAAGCTCATTTATTTCGATGGAAAGTAACTTTTTGAATGCTAATATACATTTAAAGTATCCATTGTATGTACCACTTTTGTTATTAATAAAATTGTGTATAAAATGTTATAGATGATACTCATTACATACAAATTGATAGTGACACCGTAAATTACAAAACTGAAATTTTGATATTTAACGAATATGTGACTTCACAGTTGACACAAATTTGATAAAGAATCAGAGACATTAACACTTTTATGGAATGATAATTAACCTGACATTTATTTAATCATTATTTAATTATGTAAACAAATTCATGTATGTATTATCGATAATTTTAGAATTTTCAGTTTATTTAGCAGGTATAATGCCGTAAAAGTGATGAATCATGATTAAAATTTTCATTTTTGAAATTAATACTGAGCGCACTAAAAACTAGAAATATGTATAATTACATGTATAAATCTTCATGAAAATTATTGATTTTATTGTTTGTTCTAGTCACTTTGTCAGAATTATCAGGATTTAATGGAGCTGGTGCTACTCGATTCAACACAGGTGGAATACCATTAGTTACATGGACTACTCCATTTGAAAAAGTCGTTGAGTTGTATTAATGTCACCAGCATGTGCAATATGACCATTTTGTCGAGTAGAACTTATTACCCCATTAGTGATTCGATTGCCTTCTTTTAAAACTTGGTGTACTTTCGTATCGACATCTTTTTTATTACTATGATGTCGAACTCCATTGACCATTTTATTTTCTGAAAAAAATTCTTCCATTAAAAAATGTTCTATTTATATCGGTTAAAAATATATTGTAAAATATACGATGAGGCGAACGAATAAAATTGAAAGAAATGTTTATTAATTTACAGATCGAGTACAAGATCGAAATGAATACGTCTAAGATCGCCTAGTCTCAACTCTGATGGATTTGAAGCAACTGATTGTTAACTTAGAAAACAGTCATAATGTGCGATAAAAAACGATTATATAACTAACATGCAACGTTCAATCAGCTGTTTATCCGAATGCAACCTTTCTTTTCGTAAACAAATATAAGTAACAGTTGCAAAAAAACAACTCTTAACCAAATTTAAACCATTCATTTACCTTTTAGTTCATTATAAGATGATATGACGTTCAATTGAACAATAATCAACCTTTAAGCAACTGTTTATGAATGGTTAACTCATAGTTAATAAATCGCACATTCTAACGGTTGATCTACAGTTGATTAATAGTTATCCGGGAAAAAATAAAATAGATTTACATTGATCAACTCAGATCTATTTTTTGGCACAATTAGATCTACTTTGTTCTGTGTACATCTGTTTTGATCACTTTAGATCTTCTCTGATCTCTATCGATGTATTAAATTTTTTACATCATCGAAATTAATGAAGATCTCCATAGGCATCCAGGAATTTGTGTTGATATACAATGATCTCACTAGATATACATAGATTTATTTAGATCAAATTTTTTTAGTTTTTTAGATATGAGTAGATCAAATTAGAACTAAAAAATGGCAAAAATGTACGGAGAAAAAAGTCATGACCATATTTCTAGAATTCTAAAAAACTTTACTAGAAACTCCTTCACTTATATGGATGATCGTCGAGTCAAGCAAAATTTACTAGAAATGTCTCATCAATAAATACTCGAGGTTTACAATAATTTCTAGTAAAATTTACTTGACTAGAGAGTAATTTTTACAAATCTTGTATTTGGTAAAATTATCAACAATACATTTCATTCATGTAACGTTTTCTAGAATAAGTTTACTTGGTTAGTCAAGTAATATAACTCTGATTATTTTTCTCCATGTGTAAATCTGTGTAGATCTATTTTATTTTTTTCGGGTATTTTGAGGTAAAATTATCCTAAAATGCCTCAAAGTTAACGTTTAAGTTTACTATTAACCTAATTGCAACAATCATTTAACAGTTGACATGAATCCATCAGGGAGTCCTAAACATAAATAAACAAACCAGTCACGCGTTCCTATAAACAAATTCTGTCGTTTGTCAATCCATCTATAGATGGATACACATATATTTTACAATATATTAAAGAAAATCATATAATTTTTCATTATGGATCATAATTTAAAATATGAAATTACTTTGAGTAACAAATTTGTCTTTCTGTTTTTTACATGATTGCTGATTGTACTAACTCCATTTTCTATGGAGTTTTAGATAAGTTATTAGGCACATGCGATTTCGTTTGATGCTCATTATGATTAGAATTAATATAATTCCAATTATTTGACGATGAATTTTGATGCTCTTTCAAACTTTCTTCATCTTTATGATGTGACTGACGCATTAATTGATAAATTGCTGCTGAAAATTCTTGTTGCACTGAAGGAACATCAGTATCACCATTTATCTGAAAAAAAATTATCTTAATGGTCAACTATGTATATTAGATGTTTCTATTTTTATCTCAATTGGTATATCTATACATATGTTATAGACTCTAAAATGAAGTGTGTGAAATTCCGAGTCAATTTTAGTATTATTAACACTTCAAGTGTTTAGAAACTAAACACGTGAATTTTCAGTGTAACAGATTTAACCTTATGAATTACATGATTTTTTATTTTTACCTCAAAAATAATCTATTTTTTATAAAAATTTTGTTTTGTTTAATATATATTAGAAACACAATTGAACTAGTAGTATTAATTGATTTTCTTTGAATATTGCATCTAATTATTTGAATAAAACATTTATCTTATATGATTGATTTTTACTTGATAATAAAATAATTTAATGAACTTACAGTTATTAGACGACTATCATTATCAATAATTTTCAATACTGGTAATGTTACTTCTCTGAAGAGTTCTAGTCGTCTCCTAAATGCTGGAACAGTATCATCAAGTTTTCCTCGGCCCAACTGAAGTTTAGAGCAGTCTAACAAAATTAATGGTGGTTCCTGTCCGAACTACAATTGAGTAAAGTACTTATGAAACAATTTACAGAATTACTTTGCTTTAAACCTTTGACAGTACAATTTGTTAACATAACTTACTCGGTTTACTAGAGTAACTCAAACCATAACATTTAAATGCTAACAACAAGCGATTGATTTTTTTTATTTAAAAAAATGATTAAAAAACTCTGTGAATAACACTTCAAGAAATAAAAATTGAATTTTATAATAAATTTTTCTACATCATCAAAATTGGAAATGATATGAAAAAATTACAAGTCACTAAAGTAAGTAAATGAGTGTTTAAATCAAAAGAAACATAGGGTTACTTAGATTTCAGTGTACCATCAAGAGTTTAATGAGGTTTTCAGTAATAAGATTTACTTTGGTCTCAAATTCCTGAACTTGATTAAGATCTCTTGGAAAACCATCAATAATGATACCATCACTGTCACGGTTTAACAAGACTTGTTGTTCAATGAGCTGCATTACTACATCTTGTGAGACCATTTCACCCGTTACAATAGCTTCTTTTACGAGCATATTCGAAGTAGACATGGTTCTTAGTAAACTTCCTATACTAATGTGTGCCCAATTTGGCATGTTTCTAACAGCTTGAATGCACAAACTTGATTTATTGCTTCCTGGTCCACCTACAGAATTATAGTTATTATTAAAATTTTAGTTACTATCATATAATTTTAGGATTAAAAATATTGAAATTCGAACTGACCAATTACCCAAATAAATGTAGGTAATCCTTTTCTGGGTTTAATCGCTGTTTTAGAAAGAATAGTCTTTGGCTCAGATGATAACGGAGCTATGTAAGCTGTCTTCGGACTAGCAGAAATTGGTTCAGCGCGTTCTACTTTCACCTATTGCAATAATTTTCATGTAATAAAGAAAGTCATTATTGTTGAAAAATGACTTATTTATGGTCTTCCTGTTAAATAGTAATATGATCATAGAAATAATTACATACTTCTGCTTCTAAGGACTGTGATGCTGGTTCTCTTGAGCCAGATTTAGAAAATCCAAGAATTTCCATTACAGCTTCACGAAAGTCAATGTAAACATCACTTGGGTTCCGTTCTCCATTGACCTATGATTGAAAATACAAAACGTTTTTTTTTAAAGTTAATTATTTTTAATATTTAAAAATTAAAAAAGAATAATTTAATAAAATGTTAAATTTAAAAACGAATTTATGTTAAATAATGTGTCACCAGAATAAAAAATCTAACAATTAATTATTAATAATAACAATTCGTTTTAACCTCATACTATAAACTGACTCAGCTAAAAGCTATGCTTCTTATTATTGATTATTATTTCAACTCATAACTTATTTATAAAAAATAACTATTTACTAAAAACAAGTATCTTTTTTTCGTAGAATATTTTATCAAAATTCTTTATCACAAAAAAAATTTTAATTTCACTTACTTATCTTAAAACAATTTTTATTAAAAAATAATCCATTTTCACGAATATTTACCTCAACTAAAACACCACTGCGATCAAAATATTCAGCTACAGGCATAACATTCCTATAAAAATTTCTAAGTTCCATTCGCGCTAAACTTAAGATTACATGACCCAGCTGAGCACCATAATCAATTTGTCTCTCGAGTACTTCTTGTTTCCATGAAACGAGAATCACTCCATTGACTATTTGAATCTGAAAAACATGTATATACGTATGCATCATACCATTCATAAATAATATGTGTATTTATAATATTTCAAATAGGTAATATTAAATTATCATAGCAAATTAGCGAAATTTAATGAACCTTTAAAGTGTAATAAAATTCATCGACCGCTCTCTATCATTCCATACATTTAACGTTGATTCAGTAAATAAACCTATGAATAATTATCAGAACATAGATGTAAATATAAATAAAAAATATTTACGATTTTTATCAGTCTGAAATAACTGTGAAAAACTATACACGTTAGAATAAAAATAGAGAACAACCATTTTTTGTATAATATAAAATTTCATTGAATTATTCAATTCAGTAATTTATATAAAACTTTATTTTACAAACGAACGATTAAATTCTAATCAATTAAAATTTATTAGAATATCTATAAGTTTGTTTAATTTATAAAATAATAAACTAAAAAATAAATAATATTATAGTAGTAAAATAATAAAATATATCGTCTCGATTGAAAGCACATTTTGTTACCTAAATTTTTTGTTATTTAAACTCATTTTTAAAAAATGTGAAGAAAAAAAACTACAAATTTTATATTTGTTTTAAGTTTAATTTACCTTCTCAGAATATTCAACAACGTCTCGCATATTTCTGGGATATCCACTCACGAGGAAAGTCTTTGCATTTGGAGACATTTTCATTTCGAGCATAAGCACTTCCGCAACAGTTTTGCTACTCAGTAAGCTAAAGTCTTGCATATCTAAAACATTAAAATGTCGTTTGATCAAATTATTAATTTCTTACATCTAAAATTATCTCGAAATGATCAAGTAAATAAAATCTATCTTTATTGCACTGAAAATTCAAGATAGTCCAGTCAATTTGAATTTTAAATACGAAATTTCGTGGCACAAATCGGGACCGGGGCACATTTTATAGAGAAAAGTGCGCTGAATTTAATAAACTAATTTTCGTTTTTATTTTTGAGATTTTTTATCTCAAAAAATTAAAAAAATCATTTACTGTGGCAGCCATTTTTGCTAATTATCACACCAATTTATCAGTATTATCGATCGATTAGAAAACTGTAATACCGATGTAACTGTAAAATCGTTTTAAAATCGAGACAATATTAATCAAATGGGTGACGTCATATTAAGACACTTTTAATGTTTTAAAATAAGACACTGGAATTTACAGTGTTTTATTGATACTTTGTTCATTAAAAAATTATTCTGATATACTACCATTTCCCAACGCATATTGCTGCAGAAGATCTGTCATGTTGATGTGGGTAATTCCTTTTTTCTCTTGCATCAAATTATCACAATGTGTCACCTTACCGCTCCCTGGACCACCTAATAAAAATATTTAATATATTAGATATATACAACTATACCAATTCTTCATAATAAAAAGTATCTAAATTTAAACACTGTTAATGATATTTAAAAATTTAGTAATAATAAGTAATTTATTTTATTAGAATTACATTAATTCGAAAATTTTTCATACCAAGTACAAATATAACTGGAACCGTTGGTGGTTCAAATTTAACCGGACTGACATTTTGCATAGGAAAATGCCCATCTGGTGGTGTAGATAATAGACCGGCTTCACCACGCCATTTTCCACCATGAACATCACCGTCTTCGAAAACTTGTGATCTGTTTTGTTGATCTTAATAGACAGAGAAAAATATAAAAATTTTATTTGTTATGAAAATAAACATGATCGCACAATGCTACACAGAGAATAATGAAGAAGTACTTTTTACTTTACGGAGGAAGTAAAATTTTTCTAGTAATTCGTAAACAATACTCTTAAATCAGAGTAAATCATTTTTAATATTTTTTACTCCGAATTCAATAGATTTCACTTTCTCGAGATAGTATTATTTACTCCTACTAGAAGTAATTTTGAGACTATCGATAATTCCTTTTCTTTCATAAAATATTTTACTTCTTTATCTAGTAAAATATACTCCATAAAGGTGTATATTTTACTTCTTGATGGAGTAATTTTTACTTCACTGCTGGGTCGTCTAACTTTATTATTTGTTACATAAAAATGTAAGTCATATTTAATTGTTTCGGATAGCCGAGCGGACTGAAGCGTCGGTTTAGTTGCATGCGTTAAGCGATCATAGTTTCGAATCTCTCCAATAGAAGAATATTTTTTACTGGGGTCTAAATCAACGTTTCCCGCAATCTTTAAACTGTGTACACGTAAAATTGGTATTTAACATATATATCATCTAAAATAAATAATTCTGTAATTATTCAAATGATTTTTATTAATTAGTTTTTTGCCATTATTGTTTTTCTGTCTACCTTTCGAAAGACTCGCTAAACCCTATACCTCTTATCTAAGGAGTTAATGCTATTATACTAGTATTATATTATTGTTACCATAAAATAGTAGTAGGTTTAACTCTCAAGAATAGTCAGCAATATTTTGATCAGGCACTGTGGAGTAGAAGCTACCACGCTGAAGTAGAATTTACTCCTTGTTTTGCTCCGTATGAATATTGACAATGATGGCTGATTGAATACAATTTTTTCAGAATACCACTTTATGGCAACTTTATTATAATCTAGAGAAATTCTAACGTGATTTTTTTCCAACGTTCAATAAGGGGTAATGTATACAAGGAGAAAAATGAGTAGTAAATTCTACTTCAGCGTGAATCTACCGAATTCAAAGTAATAAGTATTAAAAATGATTTACTATGATTTAGTAGTATTGTTTACTAATATGTGAAGTAATATTTACTTTTCAAATAGTAAATCTTATTAGAAACGAAGTACGAAGTACTAGAAAAATTTTACCTCCTCCGTAGAGTAAAAAGTACTTTTCCATTATTCTCTGTGCAGTAAAATAGTGTTATTCTTAATTACGAACTGACCGTATTTTGAATACCATGAGTAATAGACATTCTAATAATATGTCTAGAACGCTTTATTCAAGATTATTATTCAAGAAGAAAAATCACCATTTATAGTCAATATGCTAATCTTATTTTTCTGCAAAAAAATCAACTTCAAAGCCTTAAATACTTTTTGTTTTTTCTCTGAAACTTTCTTTTTTCAATTTCAATGTTAAGCCTCTGAAATAAAGTTCTTCTAACTACAGATTATATCGTCTATCATATTGTATGTAATAAATTTTTGTAATTCTACACAACTGTACGGATCTCTCATAGAAGTTTAAGTAAACTTTTAACTTTTAGCCGAGAAACTCGCAGACAATTCGAAAGTAGCCTGTTCGAAAAAATTAGCTCCAGATGAGGGTTTTTTAATTGTTTCAGCATTTAAGAAAGTGTGTTATAAAAAAAAAGTATGAAATCAAATAATTGAAATAAAAACTTTTATTTTAGTATAAATAAAAATATCTTTGAAAGTCAATAATTTATTTACAAGTGAATAGATTTATTATTTACAGTATCTACGCTTTCATAAAAAATTGAGTACGTGATGAAAAAATAAAATTAACAACATTACGTTACATGCATGAATAAGATGATTATCTTTATATGAACAGTCAATCAATATTATGTTGTGACAATTTATTGATTTATTTTAAATTATTCAAATAACTAAAACTTGCAATTTACATTGTTTCGTAATATATTTTTCTGTCGTTGCGTCATTGGGTGAATATGCAAAGAAAAAAAGATATTATTTTTTGTGATTCTTTATAAAATGTAATTTTATTGAATTAGAAATATATTTATTTCAGACTTTTAATATATTATGATATTAATAAAATTATTTTAATAATGATACATACGAGTACTTAAATTTTTTCTATTTTTAATGACTATTTTTACAATACTAATTAATGAAAATGATATTTTTCAGTAGCAGAACGTCAATTAGCAGGAATTATTATTGAAAAAAAAATACCAGGCATTAATTAGTCGCTATTAATTATTATTATTATTATTATTATTATTATTATTATTATTATTTTATCTTGTGATTCGTCGAAAGTGTCTGGCCAGGGATTCCAGGGCTCCGACCCACCTGGGGTCTGACCAAACGGGATTATCCAGCAAACACCCGGCTCCCTCAGGTTTGATTATAATTTTTCGCAAGATAAAATCAAAAGATTAAATTACTTAACGAATCTGACATAATGTTCAAAATTACTAGAAACATTTCAGTTTTCACTATGTTTCAAAAATGATCTGTGATTGAATCACATTCAATTCTGATTGCTTTAAACGTTTTCATTGACTTTGTGAATATAAATTGGTTACAAATAAATAATAATAATGAAAAACAATGTAACTGATAACAAGAAAGTTTAAACTTATTATTTTCATAATGTTAAAAACAACCCTAGTATAATTATATGCTTTTTCTTTGACCTTAAGATGGCTTATTAATTTCATTTAATCTAGAGAAAACTTCTTTAAAGTCTTTAACTTTATATTTTTATGTTTTTATGTCAATGTAATGAGATTTCTGCCTTGGACGGTATTTGAATGTGAACACATCAATTATTCTATTGACATGGCCATCGATTAAAAAATTTGCAGTTAAAATACTCGATTGAGTTTCCAAATCAGGTCCTATTCTAACGGCATATTTCGATATCAAAGAAAAAGAGTCCAAGTCAGGTCTTATTTTTTGATTCGAGATGATAGTTACAAACTAGCTAAGACTAAATGAAGCTGCCTTAATGGAAAAAAACCCCATCAACTCTTCTATTCTTGAACAATAATTGAAAAACCTATTAGATTTTGATGTGTATGTCATTTACTTAATAAAAATGAATTATTTGTATAAGTTTATTATATTAGGGTGAAGGACATCTAATAATGCAACTAGTTTTTCAACTTTAAATTAATTGTATTTGTTTGTTATTTCTTACTACTGAAAGGATATAAATAATTACTTTTTGCGGCAATCTATGTCATACCAGTCACGTTATCAGTTATTTTATTATTTTCAATCATTCTTTATATATTTAATTAATTTTAGCAATCTTTTTATCTTAATTATACAATATATTTTAAATGATTTTATCATCTAAATGGCCAGCCAATAATTAATATTACTTACTAATCATTATTTCAATTAATATTACTAATTATCATTTTGTTAAAAAATCAAAGGTATCCTCTTTATATTTAAATAATATCGATACCAACTAAATAAATGCCTATTAATATTGAATGCTTATTTTTATTTTTTAAAAATACTTACCAGTATCAAGACAAATACCCATATTAAGTGACTCCACTATACCGGAATGATATAATGATGGCCATTTAATTTACATGATTAATCACATAATTCACTTTCTATCACTTTATTAATGATTAATTAATAATTTTACGTTATCACTAATGTATAAAACTTCACTATCATATTTATTTATGTTAAAACTGTTTCACTTTTTTAATTAAAAAATAGTATTCTTTCATTCACTAAAATACATAAATTGTCAATCATCAAGAACGTATTTATATATGTCAAATAATGGGCTTTAATAAGTCGATAAATTTACAAATACCTAAATATTTATTTATTGAGTATTAGATAGTTTTCTTTTTCTTAAAATTTACATACGCAAGCGTTCATTTGACCCATTGAACATTTTCAATGTCATTCACTTTCCATTATTTGATTACGTAAATATAAGGCCGCGTGTTGATTAATTCACAAGATGTATGACCTCAAACAATAATCAATTATAATTCCATCAAACTATTATACAATATTTTATCATTCATCAATTTACTAATATTTTTATCATTATTTTATTTATATTCATATTCGCATTGTAGTGTCCATTTAAAATTTATTTTTAAAAAACGTTTAATTTATAAATACTTATTTAAATGGTACAATAAAAATTATTATTACATTAATTGCTAACTTATTAATTTTCAAACAGTATACGTATACTTTAAATGATGAGTATTAATCAGAAAATTCCAAGAATACTCTATTAACGTTCAATCTTATTCACTTTTACAGCAAAAGCTTATACTGACGATTGAACGTAGATATTATTATGTGCTTACAATCATTCATGTGGTAACCATGGATACTATTGTAATACGCATGCGAGTTTATTCGAAAATAGTATCCATATAACTAATATTACTAGTACATATATAATAATTACATATAGATTTTTATATCATCTAATTTTTTTATTTACAAATTATAGATTTTTGCTTTAATTTTAATTTATTTAACATTAAAACTTTTAAATAATTAATTTAATCTATCATTAATAAGAATTAAAATATAAAATATATATATATATATATATATATATACTTGAAAAAAATAATTGTAAATATTTTACTGATGCTATTAATCATAATTATTTAATCGAAAAATCTATACGCTTGTTGTTTCGTGAATAAATACATAAAAAAGACATTCCATTGTTTAAAAAATAACAATGAATCAGGACGAAATAATAAAATATACTTTAATCTATGATCATTTGAAATTATTAAAATTTTTATTTTACTGATTTATTTGTATTTTTTCATTAAATAATTAGCTTTATTATTAATTTTAAACTCAATACCTATAAGTGTATCTATGCATATTTATTAAATTTAATTATGAAACTAGTTTAATCAAATGATTTTGTTTATATATAATACAAATTTTAACTTAAAAATATATGCATTAGAAAAAAAAAAATGCCTAACAGAATGAGAATTAAAAATTCTCATTATTTAAAAATATTCATTATGGTTTAATGATAATTTTAAAATACAAAGTATAGCATGATAACTTCTATTCATATCTCTTAGGATTATGATTTTTTTTTTTATAGAATCTGTAAGTTTTATCGAATATAACCAATATTTATACGTCTACATGATTGAATATTTATACTGCGTATTTATTACTGATAAAATAATACCGTATTTACATGTATTATTTAATAAATATTTTTAAGTAATCATCTCATATCTATTAGTATTAATCTTATAATTTAGTATAGTAGTATAATCTTATAATAAGAATTAAGTTAACTCTCTGTAGAACGTTATTCATTTCATTTGGGATCTATCAAATTTTCTGCACAGCCATGATAAAAAATAATATACAAACTTGCAAAAGATAATTAGGCCATCAGCCACGTGTTTGCTACCTCTACCTTCTGCTTAGTTGGCAATTTTTCCTATGGTTTGAATCAACCTACTTTTTTTTTCCTTGATATGTAATATACTATTAACAATACCGATAAATAAATCGATTATTATTATGAGTTAACTTACCGACTCAAAATATAACGCCTAGTTTCATCCTAGCTTTATCTTATTCAGGATAGTTATATTATAATATCACTATTTTATTTTTAGAGTAAATATTAATTAAAATGAATTAACAGTGATACTTGATATCGTATGAGTTATATTACTTTTACATGAGTTAAATGATTATCGTAAAAAGTTATAATGAAGGAAAGATATAAACGATTAATTGGATGAAAAAATAAATTTATTGAAAACTTTATTGTTTTAAATATTTCATTTCAATCATAAGAGTAATCATGCAGACAGAAAAAATTAGTGGTGCAAGACATATATCATTCGAGTTTTATGAACTGTATGAAAATATTTTTTTAAATTACATTATTATATGTTTTAGCAATTTTTACCTCAAAAAATCCGTTTTGCCCCGCACTCTCCTAGATTAAAAATATAATTTGTGTAATTGATGACAGTGCCAATTGATTTAAATCTCATTACAATATAGATACACGTATATTTTAATGGATAAATGTATTTACTTGTATTTATCTACGATTCTGATGGTAAATATATAGTTTGAAATGACCTAAATGTTTTTTTTCAAGTTTGTACACTACTTTTTATTATGCCTGTACGGAAAGTTCAATAGACCTTAAATAGAAGGAAAAATTTCACTCAGGTGAAATGGAAATAAACTTTTCAATCACTCAAAAATTTTTTACCAGGAGAGATAAAAACAAATTATTCCTAAAAAAATAAAATTATATTTATCACTCTCTATAGCTGGTATGACTAATAAATATTTTTTATTTATCACTTGCTGCATATTGATTGAAAATGCCACAGCAGATAATTGAAAGTCTACTGCCCCGTTCTAAATCATGCAAATGAGTACTCAATATTCTTTTGCTGGTTTTATTAATTATTTAAAAACTGCTACATCATACGTACATATTAAACTGATTAAGGGTGATTCATTAGATTGTTCTGTTATAATTGAAAAATCGATGTAATATTATAAATATGTTATGGTAATTGTGACTTTCACTACTACAATTATCTTTATGAAATATTAAGAAGCTCTATTTTAAATTTAAAAATCTTTCATAACCAATCAATTAAAAACTAGACTATTCAAAAAAAAAAATGTTATTAAAAAATTTAATTATTTAATAGCCATCGGGATGCAGGAGCTGCTATCTTATTCAAACCCCGAGAAAAAATAAAATAGATCTACACAAATCCACATTTTTTTTGCCATTTTTTGGATCTAATTTAATGTAGGTCTATTTTATTTTTTCCCAGGACGTATTTTATAAACCCACAGCCTTATTTTTATCATAATATGATTTTTTTAACATGATTTTACTCAATTGATTTGAATCTAATTAAAATCTTGTTAAAGTCTATCACTTCATCTAATATTTATTATTATTGAAGACATGAATGAGCTTATTAGTTAAACATATATGTAATTCTTGGAATAGGTTTATATTATTGAAAATTAACATACGATATCAGAAATATTCGACTTTTTTTCTAATTCTATCACTTGATTAAAGAAGCATTCTACTGTACAGTAATTAACTTGAAACTTCTAATTTTTGCAGACATCTTAAACATTTTACATCAGATCCTGACGATGCATGGCTCTATTTGACTCTTGATTCCTTTTTCTTTCCGAATTGTAAAATCGTGATAACTTGTGGTGCTTTTATGAAATAGGAAGCCACTTCTCCAAATAAGATCAATCAGTATCCAAAAATCATTGCGCCTTTAAAAATCGACAAGATAAAAACCTCTGCAATACAATTAAAAGTGTAAATACTACACGTGCTGATAATTAAAAAAAATTTTTTTGTCAAACTCTCATTTAGATCAGACACATTTAAATATTTTACGAGCCAAGTTTTCATAAAATCATAGTAAAAGAGAATGATGTATATATTTGTGCATAAATAGCTTTAAAGATTTTAACTATTGAGCATTATTGCTTAATAGATAATTTAATAATAAAAATAAATACAACAAATCAAAATGTTACAAATATGTAATAGTTTTAAATAAATTTATTTACCTAATTTAGTTTTGTTTATGAAAAAATTTTTAATTAAACAATCATCCAATTTTAATGAAATTTCTTTTAAAATCATCATTTTTACGGCAGATTTATAAAAAAGGTATGAAAAATATCTCACTAAAAGATTTCATATGGTTTTAAGATTTTGAATGGTCTCATAAATGCACTTCTTTGAATATAATTGTTCATAACTTTTCTGGAGCCATAAAAACGACGAGATTGCGATAGTATAAAATTATCCAAATAATAGATAATTTTTATATGTTTACTTATCTATTTTTTTATTATATTTTTACATCCTAATTTTATTCTAAAAGCTAAGAAACTGTTTTATAAATCGTTATTGTCGCATATTCACAAATTTTATTTGATCGACATTATATATATATATATATATATTATGATTATTTAGATATTTATAAATATACATAAAAATGTGAAATGTTTTTTTTTTGCTCTCTGTTGACAAAATAGACTTTATAAGCTTCATAGTGTACATTTAATATTACAGCCCTATTACGTTTTTGCCTATGATAAACTGTACACTTACATGATAAGACTCGCTAAATTTGACCCATTCATGTACAATAGATTGCAAACAATTTAATAATATTTTACGACTTATTAATAGACAAAAATCGTTTTTCTTTTTATTTATTTATTTAATAATTTTTATTTTTTTTATGTCAATAGTAATATTTTTAAAAATGCAAAAGGGAATGCATTCATGAATTTAATTTACTTTTTGCATTATACATAAACCCGATTAAAATAAAAGTTTCTATTCCAAGCGAGACAAATTCATATCGCTCCTTATTGATGAAGTAAGGAACGAAAATCATTGAGTCATGTTTCAAATACTTTTTATTTATAATAATTGCATTATATACTTAACCTTTGAATATAAGAGTCAAAATTTATTGAATATTTCATTATTTCTTTTCAAACTATTGTAAATTAAACTAAAATGATAATTTTAATAAATTATATTACTTATATTGAATTATTCAAATGAATGAAATTATGGATAGTTTAA